TGGGCAACCCTTTTAGAAGGCAAGATTCTTTGTGTGGAAGTACAGTCCCTGAAAATGTCATCCCAATTGGCTGGAAGAAAATAAGTGAAAAATGGAAATAATAAAAGTGCTATGAATGCAACGTTGGTGCACGTCCCTACTCTCAGTTATGCAAAATTCACCCCAGTTTCCAGCTTCAATGTTCAGGTTTTTTTACATGAGAAATTTCAAAGCAAAATTTGAATTTCTTATACCGAATGTTAAATTTGAATGCCTCAATTGTGTTGTCTTGTTGAGATCTCTTGCTTATTTTGATCTTTGCAAATTCCAAATAGAAGCAAATGCTAGTTACTATGACATACCATGTGATAGCTATCAAATATTATCAGATACTAAATGCTAAAACAGAAAAGTACCATTACATGTCAACTATCAGTTGCTATCTATTAGTAAATACAATTGCACTCCAGCTATCAAATTATGTCAAACACAAATGCATCAGTGGTTTTCAATTATCTTCAAGAAAACCCTAGGTTTTTTGGAAGCTTGTCAGGAGTTCTCCAATGAGAAGAACAGTGGAAGGGAACGTCCTCTATTGGTGATCTTCCTCAGCAGTGCACAGCCACAGGAAAACACTGGATGTGTCTCTGGACATAGTCTCACAATGGGGCAACTCAAAAGTTCAACACTGAAAACTGAGTGTGAGTCCCAGAACTCACTCAGAATCTTCTGGAATTCTTTGGCAGCTGCAGCAAGGCTTGTTGGCCAATATCAATGTGGAGGGCGAAGGTAAAAAATATGAAAGCATCTGTGTTGTATATCATTATTCATCCGCTCTTGTCTTGATACAGTCAATTGCTTAATACCATCGCATGTTGACTTCCAAACATGTCAGCCATCTGATATCATCAAACACTGAAAACAAATATCACTGAGTATCAAATACAGCTGTCAAATATTTGGAGATGCAGAAAGAATATTCAAGCATTCACAGAATACCTGATGTATAAGCCAACATCAAGAAGGGGAATTTTGCAAAGGGGAAATTTGAAAAGAGTGTCTCAGAACATATTTATTTCTGCTCCAGAAGGATATCATAACATGTGCAGAATGCCATCTCTTCACTAAGTAACAGCAAACATTCCCAAATTTGAGATTAAAGGACTCTTTGACTTAAAATCTTAATATCTCTCCCTGGAAAAATAATTAAGTTTGTGTTTGTTTCAGTTAATGCTAATTGGATGGAAAAGGTGTTCTGCCCACTCACTTGAAGGTGTGCAAGTGTACACATTGATCAGTCATTGTACACACTCTCACCTTGAGGACTATGAATATTAACTGGGTAGTATATGAAACATCGGTGATTAATGTACATTCTGGTGATTTATCCATATTGACTGAGCAATGTAAAAAATCCCTAGTTCCCAATCAAATTTTGTGCTCATTCTCCACATGCATACACACAACATTTAAATATCTATGGACATTCTTAATTCAACACACTTTAACCTCATATAGAGTGCATTGCCAGGGACTCTGGTGGTATAGGTGTCCAATGCATTCCGCACAGCTAGATTCACATTCACTAAAATAAACTCTAGTGTCAGGCAAAATGACAAGTGAAACGGAATGCTGTACTTCTAACAGGATTTTAGATGTATTGTTACCCTCCACCCAGGAAACACTGAAAGCACATAACAAAAGAACCTGTAGAAAGGTTTGTCAGTGATTACTTAAACTAATAAGGTCAAGCTGGGGGGCAGGGAAAGTGTACTTCAGTAAGTGTAGTTTATATGTTGTTACCTGCCTTGAGTCCCATTTAGGGGAGAGGGAGCCGGATATACATTTGATAAATAAATAAATGAGTCTGTTATTCTTTAAGGAGTCATATAACTCCTTAAAAATTATTGAAATCAACAGGTGAAGTTTAAAACAGACCCTCTATCAGTAAGAATACAGGTGTTATGCATTACAGGTGTGAACAATATGAGTATGCCTTTTTTGTATTTATACGAAGAAAGAAAAATAAATAAATAAATAAATCCTCGAAGCCTCTTTGACCAACACCTTTTTGAGAAAGGGCTTGTGGTCACAGAGTCCACCAGCTTGTTTGGAGGAAAAGCAAGCAAAGGACATCGGGGTAGCCGCAGTTTCATAAGAACGCGCTGAGAGGGATCATTTATTCTGCCTGGATTGGTACCACAACGCAACCACAGCTTTCAGATGTTTCTCCTTGGGCATCACGAACGAATTTAGAGTTTGCGGGCTCGACAAGCAATCCGGCGATGCTGCAAGCACGCGGGTATCTGGCGAGGCATCCGGCGGGACAGGCTGGCACTTGGCGACCAAGAGGACGGACGAAGTGACTACGTGTTTGTATCGGGGGGAGTTCGGCGTGCAGAAACTTCAATCCATTCTAGCACGAAAAGGATCCTGTCGACAACAGTGGAAGTTTGCTTGCGTGCGCTGTGGACCCCTCTGCCTGCCAGAGGAGGCCGGTAGCTGTTGGGGTGACCGGCAGACAAAGAAAGAGATTGAGGGTCAGCACAGGTGGATGTGCTGGAGTGTTTGGGAGGGGGAAATTTACACGGCTTTGTGACAACCGTTTCATACCGCAGGTTCTAGTTCTTCCAGCAAGGAAGAGAGATTGTGTGCGCATGTTTTAGGGGAAAGGGCACATCTCGCCGACCGCGGCGGTCCCAGCCCTACGGATACCAATAACGGGAAACAATACCCTTCCCGTCTGAGAAAGAAAAGCGATCTCTGCGAGTGACCCAGCTGTTTATCGAGAGTCTCCCCTTCTCTCCTGCCACCCCCTTTCTCTCCCCCCCGCCCCCCCATAGCCAACCTGCCTCAGAGAGAAAAAGGGAGCCCTGGCCGGCCCTGTGTGGAGGCGAAGGACTTCCTCGGGTGCTTGATCAAAGGGGGCAGGAAGAACCGTCGGGGCGAGCAGGGGTCGCTCCCTTGACGGGAGGTGGCGTCCACGATGGGTTTCCGAGGCCGCGTGACCGGAGGCAGAGAAGGGCTTTTTTTTCGGGTGGGAGGGGGGAATAACTTGCAACCAAGCATTTTGGAGCGACAGCAAAAGTGGAAGCCACATCTTGGTGACTTACGCTTCCCTTGTCTGGCGCGTGTGCCCGGGCGCGAACCTCGCCTTGGCTTCAGGATTAGAAATCAAAATATAAATCGCACACATCTCTTGCGCAAACGGCCGTAGGACTGGAATGTAACAATTTCCCTCCACCGATTTTAAAAAAAGAGAGAGAAACGCACATGGTTTTGGCGGGTGACAGCGGTGCGTATTGAATCTCCGCCATTCACTTTTAAAAAGGGCTCAGGGTGGTTTTAAAAAAATTACTTAATGAAATGACTGCAGTCCGGGAGGACCACAGTAAGCGCGTTGAGGGGGGCAGCCCTTTTGCCGAGGAAAATCGCACGGCGGGAAAGACCAAGCCCGCCTTGGGGAGGCAGCTCTCGGCGGAGTGGATGACAAATCCGCGTGGCCCTCGAAGCAACACTTGGGCACCGCCCGGCAATGAACTTGACCCTTGTTCGGTCGACTGTTCCCGGCGCGCTAAGAGCAGCAGGATCATTCGGGGGCCGTCTTTTTACGGGATAAGTACTTTGGTCTGGCTCTTTTTGAGCTGCGGCTATTTAATTCGATCAGCTAAAAGCGCCCG